GGGCTGCATTTGGGGCAGGAAGGGTGGGCAACAGCAACACTGGGGGGTGGCTATGGGGGGGCTACAGCCACACCATAGCACTCCTGTATCCCCTCCCCCAGCACTGGCACTGCCCACCTCACCTGCCCCAAGTGCAGCCCCGGTCCAGCCCTCCCCCACCCCCCGCTGAAAAGAACCCGGCATGACCCCCAGCTCCCAGAAGGCAGACTGCTCTTGTCCCACGCAGAGATCCAGGGGGCACGTGCCCCTCATGCTTCCTCTGGGAGTGCATGCAGTGGCTGGGAACTGCCCCCTACCTGCCCCGTGGCTGTAGACAAACCGTTCACAGCTCCATCCTATGCCCTGTCCCTCCCTACCTGTGCAGTGCCTGTCCCTGTTCCAACCCCACTCCCTCCCTCACCATGGGGGCCTCAATCTGCCCCCACCATGCCCCTTCCCTCCCCCACACCCCTTCCCCACCACAGATGTAGCAGCTGGATGCTCCTCTCCAAGCTGCTGGGATGCACTCCTGGCTGTGCACATGCATACAGCATTTATTGGCATTATTACTGGCCACATTAGCCAAAAAAGCAGATTGCTGATAATCTCAATTTTCCTTTTATTGGTGCTGATTCGATAAGGACCAATGTATCAGTGCACCTCTATTTGAAATATCATTTACTGCCTGATTTCACATAGTCTGTAGTATATAATTGTAAATGATTCCTAATTTCATTCCTTGCCATGCCTACATGAGATGCTGAGTGCACAGTAGCCTGTGACTGCTGTGCAGTAGCACTGCAGGGCAGGAAGTGTGACGTGACGCTACTGCACAGTAACCATGAGCTACTATGCAGTCAGCATCATGAAATAGCTATTTTTTGGTGCAACTACTTTGCAGTCACTTAGTACTTGTTTATGTAGGGCAGGGGTGTGCAGGCAGCAGATTGTGGCTCTTCCTGAGCTCTGAACCATGCTGTCACTGCTGCAAAATCCTAGTCCCAGCCCTTGAGTAGCTCCCCACCCAGCCATGTGCTCTGCCAGCTCCGTTGGGGCTGGTCTCCCTGGAAACCCTGGCCCTGTGCTGTTACAGCCCTGCTGCTCTTGGCATCTCCATGGAAACTGCCCACAGTGACATGGGAGGGGGGCTGCTAGGAAATGGAGTCTGGCTGCCAGCAGGATTCACCATTTTGCCCATCCCTGAGTTAATGGGTATAGCATGTTGTGTGCCCATTCTTTAGAAGAGTATATTGCACTCCTTATATTACTGTGGTAGGCTTCTCACACAGTTTACTTGGTACTGATCAGAAACCAGCTTTGATACCCTCTCACTTTGACCTCTGATTCATAAAGAATAGGTTGGTTTCCACACTGTTTTTTAATAATAATTAATCTTAGATTTTTCTATTTAAGATACACAGTAAAGCTGGGAGAAGACACCCTTTCTCTACCTGGGTGCAGTCATATGTGTAAGAAGGAAATTGAAGAGAAAAAGTGCTGCCCAGGGTTCTGGGGTACTGAGTGCTATGGTATGTTCTTCCATTCTATACCTGTCCTTCCCACCATTGCTCAGATAAGGCACTTCAAAATGGTGCCATAGCATTACCAGTCTGGCCAGTTCTTCCAGAGATGTGCTTCATTTTGATGATTCTTATTTATGCTTCCCGGGCACACATTCAATCTCAAGATCTCCAACATCTATCTAGGAAGACATGAAATTCTTGGGGAAAGAACTTTTCCCTTTCATGTTATTTGAATACTTATGAGGTTTGTCTCCTAGCACAACTCTGTTGTGTGGAAGTTACTCTTGTTAAAAAGAATATTTTGAAAAAATAAGTGGTTGTTTTTTTTAAGTTTCCAAAGGAAGAGAAAGAGAGTTCTTTCCAGGGGTTAAGTCCCTACCTCCACGTATACTCTAAAATTGGCAGCTTTTCTGTCACTTTTAAGTCTGCTTATTTTCACTTTTAGCTGCAATCTGAATATTTAACTGAATTTCAAACTAAACTGTATAAATTTGGGAATGTTTGCCTCACTTCCTGATGTTGTTACTGTAATATTTGTTGATTCTGGTAAAGTCAAGAAGCTGAACCATCAAGCCACAAAATAAAATTTTGATACTTTTGCCAGTCCACTTGAAAACTGAAAAAACCCCTCACTAGTTTGTGGGGAGGAGGAGCATGGTAGAGAGCTGTCTAGCGTACTTCGAGGCCTGGGTTATGTGAATAATCATCAGGGACAAAATGACAGGCAAAACATTTTCAAGACAGGGGACCCATCCTGAGACACTGAGGGCACGTCTACACGTGATGCTAGGTTGCTGTAGCGACGTGCTATGATGATGTGGCCATGGGTGTCTAAGTGTGACCAGCAGCTACTTCACCGTAGCGGCATGCTCCCTGAAGTAGCTGCTAAAAATAACTGTGCGCCGCATGTACAGTGCAGTATGGGTGGTTACTTTTGCTGTTACATTCAGCAATACGTGCCTTGCAGTAAAAATGTCACCATAGGGCAACATGTAGACGCACCCTGAGAGCTTGTTTTTCAAGGTGCTGTTGACGTGCAGTTCTTTGAAGTCAAGAGGGTGCTGCAGGTCCTCTGACAAGTATATCTTCCACGATCTCAAACACCACAAATGAGTGACTTCTGAATATCTGTCTGAAAACTCTAAGAATTTTTCTTGGTATTAACAGGGTCATAAATAAAGGCCAGATCCTGCAAAGAGTTTGAATGCCTTCGGTCCCCATTGAGCTAAGTTAATTACAACTATCTAGAATGTATGTGTTTGTTTATTTTTACCATTAGCTATTTGGGTTGATTTTTTTAATATTATAATACAAAATTTGAGGCTATTTATGATCTAGCAGAGTACTTTTCTGCTTATACACAATGCCAAATCCAGCACTGGTGGAACTCTGTGACTGGGCCTGTATAGGGTTTTTTTTAGATAAGGAGGCAGAGATGTCATTGTTTCTAAGTCCTTTGTTTGCAGTAACAAGGATGAACATGGGGGTAGAGGATGAATAAAGGACAAAGGTGAGGGACAAGGACTGATTTTCTTAATCCAGGCCTGTCCTTTTGTTTGCTAGAATGCCCCGGTGGGTCTGAAAATCCTTGCAGTGGCCATGGGACCTGTTTGGATGGTATAACACAGAATGGAACCTGCATCTGTGAGGTCAGTATATAATGTATCATGAAGGTAACATAATTTCACAAAATGGGTGTATATAGATCCAGTCCAGGTGCTAGCAGCAAAGGAGCTAACCCTCAGGCTAGACAGTGCATTAATATGATGCTTTAATATGAATGTAAGGATTTGCAAGGTAGGAGGGCAGAGCCAGCCATAAAGGACTAATTAATCCTCCTGTACACTGCGTCCAAGGCACATACTGCTGAAAAGTGAGTTGAATTGGGAGGGCTCATTGAGAAGCAGGGATGGGAGGGATCTTGTCAATGACAGTAAGCTTTGTCTTGCTTTGGATGAATGAAGCCCAGATGTTTTGCATCCTTAAAGGGACAGGACCTTTTTTACCCGTATCTTTCTCTTTGGCAATAATAATACATCATGTGATCCACCTAAATAGTCACAGTTGTTTTAGCCATGACTGGGTTGTCTATATCCGCCATGCTGCTGGGAGAAATTATAAAGCTAATGTAATTTTACCTCCATTTTGTTAAGGGAAAGTCTGAAGTTGTAAACAGTATTAAGTCCTCCAGTCCCAAAAGGTATATTTTTCTTTCTGTCCTTTTTCTTTTACAATGTGATCCAGGTCCTCTGCTCTTTGTCAATGAAATGATCATTATATATCACATGACTTCACCGATGCAGATTCCATTCCCTGTCATAGCATCCAAACATGTCCCATGACCACTGCAAGGATTTTCAGATCCACTAGGGCATTCTAGCAAACAAAAGGTCAAGCAGTCTGGATTAGGAACATCCAGGGTTGTGTCCACACCTTTGTCCTGTATCTACCCTCCATCCTCATGCATGGTGCTTGTTACCTCCCATTAGAAGGATGATCTTTACCTGCAAGGGTCTGTGTGCTAGTTTATTTTGAGGCCACAGAGAATGCGTTTATGTAATGTGGCTGTTCTGTTAGGACTACCAAGTTTTTTTAGAAATGAAGTGCAATGGATCAAGAGGAGTGTACCCTGCATAGTATGCTCTAGGGATCAGGATTGGTTGGTTGCTCCATCCATCTTGATTATCTTGGTTATGGCGTTCAAGGAGAAAAGGACCCTTTTTCTTCCTCAGACTTTCCATCTATCCCAGCCCAACCCACCCTGATGCCAGCATGCTGTCCCTCATATGTATCCTCCACAACTCAAATGGTGCAAAAGCCTTGATCTGATATAGCAGGGGGCTCTTATCATTTCAGGCCAGCACTATCCTTTACTCTAGGCTTTGTAGGAACAAGATACAAGACTGTAAATGGTCATATAGCAGCTCTCCTCAGAGAAGGGACAAATTATCACACAACATCAGAGCCATGTGAAGTGTTTGCTTCTGCTTCAGAAATGAAACCTGCAGTTGCTTAGCTATCTCTACCCATACCTTATGTAACCAACTGGCTCCCAAAACATAAGCAGTCTAATATATTAATAAAAAAATTCACCCATACACAGTGAGGATCATAGAGTCTGCTCACCCTTTACGTAGTGTTCAAGCCTATAACCTATAGAAAAGATGACAACAAATTGCATCTCTTCCTTTTCCAAGGATCTGAAGAATACCAGACAAAAACTCAAACTGGGTTTATTTTTATCAGTACAGCTAAGACTAAAAAGATATTGGACCAAACTTTATTTAAGGTCTGATCCAAAAACCCAGTTGAGTCAATAGAGTTAACCCATTGGCTTTAACAAACTTTGGCCTTCAAGACAGAAATTAAGCTTCTAGTCATGATAAGACATTTTGTTCAGGATTTGCCACGATTGTTCTGCTGTTTGCTCATTAGTGCAATCATGCATGGTTTTTATCTGTTAAATAAATTGTTCTCTCCATCACATGGGCAAATCATAGGGCACTAGAAAGATCAGTTTTTAAGTTGTGTCATTTAAATTGAAAACAGATAATAAAGAGGAGGTGAAGAGAAAAATCAATTATTAGTTAGCAGCTTGAACTGAGTGATAATGTAAGAAAATAACATTTGACTAATTGTTTTGGTCCATTTAGGAAAGATATAGTGGCTTTGCCTGTCAAAATTGTCGGGATGAGACTGTGTTTGGCCCTGGCTGTCAATCAGGTAGGGATGATGAACAATCTGACTAACCTGCAAAGAAAAATCATGATGTAGAGCAAAGTGAATGCAGTGGAGGGGTTAGTATGTAAAGCCTGATCAAGTGTGGAAGCAGGTACTGCCACCAGATAGTGAGTGTGTCTACACGTGTATTAGATCCAGGAGCAATTTACTCATGAGTAAACTACTTGTGACTAAATGCTCCCAGGCAGGCATCTACATGTGCAGGGATGTCGGAACAGATTTGCCACTAATGAAAGCAAACTGAAGGGGGACAGGGTCCCCAGCTCCCACCGGTAGGGAGCTCCTAATGCCAGCCCTGTGGTCATAGGGACAGTGCTGGGTCAGAGCTAGAAGATCCTTATCTCCCAGTTCCAGCTTCGTGACTGCAGGACTGGTGATGGGATGGCTATAGGAGATCTTTATCTCCCAGTGCCAGCTCCGTGCACTAGCCTGCGGAGCAAGTCCTGGGAGATAAGGATCTCCCAACCTCCACTCCCTGATTGTGATCTCAGAGCAGGGGGCTTGGAGCTCCCTGCTGCCAGGGCAGGGAGATATAGTCCCCACTCAGGCCCTGGTTGCAGCGCCCACCCCAACAGCAGGCAGCTCCCGAGGACAGGGAGCAATCTCCTGCCCCCTGGTGACTAGCTGACCAGGAGCAAATGTACTCCCAATCAGGCTTCTACATGAGTGCTACTGTGTAGTAACTCATTGCAAGGAAATTTGCTACTTGCATTTGGAGGTAGCAAATTTACTTGTGAATAGTGAAGTTTTCTGCACAGTAAGTGTGTGCACATGTAGACACACATGCTTGCTGCACAGTAAACTGTGTTACTGCACAGTAAAGCATCGTGTAGATGCACCCAGTTATAACTGCCTCTAACATTTTTCAAACCTCTTTGTGGACCATTAGGATGGTTTGGTACATTTGCCAAATACTGAGACTTTAAGCCAATCAGATCTGAAATGTGGGTATTGTAGTAAATTATCTAAATCCCACATGTGGGTACAGTGGCTTTATAAATGCTGTTTTTGCTCACCTGCTTCCAACCTCTGAAAAGGTGGCTTTGTGCATCTGTGAAGATGCATACATATGAAAGTCAGGCCTGTAGGATTGGTGAATTTAATTGTGCTGAACATAGGCTCAGCAATATGACAAGCAGTTACATGCCCAATGTTCCCATATTGAACAAACAAAAAATGATTACAGTCTTTTGCTTAGCAATGATCAGTTTTTCCCAACTGTGATCTCAAAGAAAGCAATTTTTAAATCCTATAATCCCATCATTCAATGCCCTTTATATCTATATTCCCAAACCTTCAGAAGTTTTGGAAAAAAAGGGAATTATATTCCTACTGCTGTATTTAGCAGGTACATCTGAAGAGCCCCGCCTGTTCCAAGCAACTCCTAATGCTATGCTTATGTGAGTTTCTCTTGCAGTGTGTGATTGTCAGCATGGTGTCTGCAACCATGGTATCACTGGTAATGGAAGCTGTACCTGCTATGGAGGATACACTGGTCCCAAGTGTGATCAAGGTATATGCTGACAGTTACAATCCAATTATGAAAAAGACTTGTTACTTATAGCTCAAAAGGAAGACGGGATGAAATACTCTGGAAATCTACAACAAGGATAGTTTTGTGATATAGGAATTGGACTAGGACATGGGAGAGCTAGGATTCATTCCCCTACTCTACAACAGGTTTCTTCTGTGGTCCTGTGCAAGTCACACAAACTTTCTGTGCCTTATTTCTCCCCTCTGTAAATTGGTTCAATACTATATTTACTTGAATCGAAGATGAGGTTTCCCTGAAATCAGCATGGGGAGAAAAACCCCTCATCTTAGATTTGTATACAAAGAAAGGGTGGGAGGGGGCAGGTGGCTGCTGCAGCTCTGACTCTGGCCCTGAGCCCAGGTCGGGGCCAGAGTCAGACCCACAGCAGCCAACCTGCCCCCTCCACTTGCCCTCTGACAATTCTGTGCCCCCCCTGCTGCCTCCTCCCCACTCTGACTGTCAGATGCAGCTCAGCTGGTGCTAGATTCCTTCCCAGGCATGAGCATGTCATCTGCCTGGCGAACCAACAGTGCCAACACTTCTGCATGGCCAGGAGGGGCTGTGCATCCTCCTGCTTTGCTGCCAGAGGAAACAGTGACTGGGGAGCGGAGGAGCGAAAGAGGCAGAGACTGAGGAGTAGGGAGGGAAGAGACAGAAGCTGTGGGGAGCTGGAGGTGGGAGGTGCAGGTTTAGAAGGGACAGGAAGGCTTCAGGGGGGAGAAGGTGGGGGGTAGAGGGTAAGAGTCTGCCTGATGCCCCCAGTCACTTAACCCCTTCACCCACTGCTTTCCCAGCTGTAATAGTTGTGGGGTTAGGGGGAATGAATTTAAGACAGCCATTCAAATACTTAGATTCTATACCTGGACAGTTTATACATTTTCCATGTATAGAATCTAATTACTGGGGAATTGTCTTATATTCAGGGTCATCTTGGATTTGAGTAAACATGATGCTTTCTTGTTTTTTGTATAAGTTGTTTGGCTTGTCTATTTAGGCTTTACATTCTTTGGTGTAAAGAATGTTTCTTGCTATCCAAGTTTGATATCCTTGTTGCCTAGTAGACTGGGCCCCAACGTCACTTTGGGACCTTTGGCTATAATAATGATGATGATGGTGAAACAATATAAATATATTTTTGACATTTTCATGTAGCAAGTTAAATTTTCCTAAGGCATCTAGCATACCTGAGTGAGACCTACCTTTGTTTTGTGATTTCAGAACTACCCCTTTGCAGAGAATTGACTTGTGAACCCAAAAGCCAGTGTGTGGTAAAGGCTGGAGTAGCAATATGTGACTGCAGTCCAGGGTATAGTAAGGTTGGGAGCACGTGCCAAGGTAAAAACCCCATCCTAGTCAGAGATTCAGAAAAATCCCCTGTGCCTAGATTCATGTGGCAAAGAGATAACAATGATGCATCAAATAGTGCTGCACCCCTGTTCCTTCACATGCGGTAAGTCCTTCGCTTGGGCAGAACTGTGTGAAGGGGTGCCCTGCAGTGAATGAGAGTGCTCAGGGAATTCAGAGGAATCACCTCAGCACTTGGCCCCTGCTACCAAGAGTTTATTGCGATTACTTCTTGCACTGGTGTGGTGTGGGAGTGTAATGCTGAGACAGGATTGTTAAGGGTTAGTCAGTTCCATATAAATAATCATATAATGCAGAGATGATCGATTAAAGTTTTACCTCATTATAGCCTCTCAGTTTATGGTAACCTGGAACATAAAAGTACCTGTCTCTTAGGGTCCATACTAGACCAGTGTGTCAAAACGATGCTTGGTTGTTGTGCTTGGAGGGGTGTTAGTTTCAGATGATGGGATTTTAACAGCAAAATTGGAATTTTAACAGCAACTATTTTTCACCGCATCAGTGTTACATTTCAGAAATGGATAGCAGCTGATGAAGTAGATTGCTACCTATGAAAGATCATGCTTCTCTGAACTAGTTAGGGCAGGGGGGGCACCTTAGGCTAAGTACAGACATTCAAAAAGCCCCTGGCAGAATTGCTGTATTGCACTTTACTTCCAGTGCTTTCAGTTAGAGTGGGAATGAACCAAAGAGACATTTGCCATTCAGTGGGGAGGGCTAAATGTCTGCCTGCTCTGGCCAAGACCAGCAGGTGGAGAGTGCTCCTGCATGCCTCCCAGGAGGCTGCCCCCCCAGCAGCTTACTGTCTGGGATCTCAGGTGGGGCTGGGCCACATCTGCATGGCAGCAGGCTCCCTTTCCCTTCCCTTGCCCCAGCTGCATGACAAATATAGCCAGGAGCTGCACTGCAGGGCTGCCTGGTTGGCTCTTCACTGTGCCAAGAAAAGAGGCTGGGAGGGGAGGGAGCCCCCCTGCCACACCCTGCTCCCAGACCCCCGCCAGAAAGCTGTGGGGGAGGCCCCTCGCAGCAGGAGGGGCTCCCTTCCCCACCAACCTCAGTTCCAAACTTGGTGAAAAGCTGTCTGAGCAGCCCCTGGCTGCAGCTGTCAAGAGGCTAGTGTGGGGGGAAAGGGAGCCCCCCTTCTTGGGGGCCAGACCCCCAACAGCTTGCTGGCTAGGGTCTGGGGTGGGTAGGCCAGGTCTGTGTGGTAGAACTGGAGGGCTCTCTTCCCTCAGCCACCCCCCCACAAGCCTCCCAACAACAGCAAGCTGCCTGGCCAGCTTTTCACTGTGCTACGAACTAGGGCCAGTGGGGAAAGGGAGCCCCCCCCGCTATGAGGGCTTCCCTCCCAGTTTGCTGGCTGGCCTCTTAGGAGAGGGCCAGGCCAGGTCCATGTGCCTGAGGAGCTCCTTCTTTCCCCCACCCCCAGTTTCTGGCTTAGCAAATTCTAGCTGCAGCAGTCAAAAGGTAGTGAGGGGGAGGGGACAACACTCCTACTAACGAGCTTTAGTTTAAGTGCCTCTGCCACTGTTTTGAAGCTTGGGGACTCTAATATGCAAGATGCTGCGCAGCTTTAATTAGAGTGGCTCTTGGAGCCACTCTAATTAAAGTGCCCCCGCTCCTGCCCCTGGAGCATTTGTAAAAGTGCCATTAGAGTGGGATCCACTATTTTTAAAGTGGTTTAAGTACCATGAACATCTCTTCTGTTATGGCTTTAAAGCACTTCCTGCACACTTAACACGTTTTAAGTGTAACATCTGTACCTAGCCTCAGAGATTACCTTCTTCCATAAATGGATAGTGTGATTTCTCTTACTCAAACTAAATTTTAATTTTATTAATTGCATTTTCTAATAATGAAAAGTACTACCATAGTAATTTATGTTTATATCTCAAGGGGCATGATTTCCAATATCAAGTTTCAAGTGACCTTAAGTAGATAATGAAAAAAAATTTAGTTTCAGATCCTCCTCAAAAAGAAGTGAAAGTTCAGAAGCAGATCCAAATTTATTTCTGGTCCTTCTCTTTTTAATTTTTATACTTTTAATATGAAATACCTGCAAGTCTCATTTATCCAAATCCATCTTCAGAAATAATCTCCGTTGTTTGAAATTAGTATATTTTTTTCTTTATACTTGAATAAATTTTGCATCCTCCATCCATTTTGGATGAATCAATTTCTACTGTATGACTTTATATGTTGGTCTGAAATCTGTGCCCTCTCTCTTCCTTTCACGTACAGTTCAAGATCCTTGTGCTTCATCACCATGTTCCTCATTAGCCAACTGTAAGTTTCTTGGACCTTTAAAGTATGAGTGCACCTGCAAAGATGGCTATCAAGGAGATGGGAAAATATGTCAACCAATCAATCCCTGCATTAATAATAATGGAGGCTGCCCTGAAAAATCTACACTCTGTGTTTATCAAGGTCCAGGGAGGGTAAGATGAAGAATTGTGTGATGCACTTGTATATGCCAGTAGAAATCAGGAAAATAATTTTATAAATTGCATTGAACAAAGGTGTTATGCTTGAAAAATCTAAGTTAGACTAATCTGTACTTGGATAAAAGTTGTTATATCAATGCAAAATTATAACCCTCTGACTTTTCTTTCCTTAGTCGTCTTGCATGTGTAAACCTGGAATGAGCAGCCTAACTCCTTCAGCAGGCTGCTCCTTTACTAGTGAGTGTCAGCGGTTTTACTGTGACGTGACTTCACAATGCAAAATTAGTCCAAATGGGAGTCCTAGGTGAGTTGATCTAGCAATCTCTGTTAAGATGCATCATTCTGTAGATCAAATGCTGTTTTGTTTTAATGAGCAGAATAATACTGGGAAATCAGAGATGGGTAGAAGTACTGGTCTAAATCAAGGTTTGAGAAGAGCAAAAATAAGAACCTACTGAAACCAGTCAGAGATGTATGTAAGTCATTGCAAGCAACAACCTGGTATATAAGCTGCTTGCAGAAGTTAAAAAAAAATCAAAAAACGGCATTTACACTCAGTGCACCCCTGCACCGAACCCGGCACAGGCCCAGAAGAGGTACTGCGTTAGTTAGACCCGGCTCTCCCAACATCTGTACAGACTGAGTGCTTTAGCTGGGCTTTTTTGACACTTTATTGACTCAACTTTAGGAAAAAAGTGCCAAAAAGCCCTGCTGAAGCACCCAATCTATACACTGTGGAGACAGATCAAACTACAGTGCTGCTGCTTCTGGTAAAACGTGGGTTTGGGGTTTTTTTAATGTCTGCAAGTAGCCATAGGCCATGAAAGGGATTTGAAACCAGGCTATGCAACACTCCAGCCCAGTCCTCTTATCACTTAACAAAAGCAGTATCTTTCTTATCTCTAGCAGTAGTAGGCTGTTACCCTATAGTGGTCCAGACATTAAATGGGGACACAATATACACAGAAGGAGTCTCAGACAGAACCTGCGATTTGTATTTGAGGAACGAATCGTCTGCACTCTTCACAGGAGGAGAACAAACGAGGATTTCATTATCCTGCTCTCAGCACAGTGGACAAACATGCTAAAGTTGGCCTTTAAATGATTCCTAGGGAAGACATAAGTACTCTCAATATAGTGCTCTTCTGAGCAACCACGTAGGACTCATTCACCCCTCATTTTCAGGTAGAGCTGTGCTAGAGAAGGGGCAGATTGCCTGAGCCACAATGTCTGACCTAATGGTCTCCTGGGCACTGGAGAAGGCACAGCCAGTGGCGACACATAGGGGGTACATGGGGGTGCATGTGCACCCCCTGAGAGCACTGGTGCACCCCCTCACAACCATCATTCCCCACTTAGGTAGCACGTGGGGGGGGGCAGGTGGGAGCACTGGTGCCCCCCGGAGTGTGCTGGCTGGGGAGTGGTGGTGCCAGGCAGGTGTGTCTCTGGCCCTTCCAGGCAGTGTTCACTCTTAGAGCCAACCTAGAAGAAATGCTGCTTCCAGGTTGGTGTGCATTGGTGTGATCAGCTGCAGGAGAACACGCACCCCCTGGTCACTGACTGGCTGCCTGGGGGGCAAGTCCCCCCCCCCCCCAACTCAGGAGGCACCAGTCGCCCATGGGCACAGCAAAGGAAAATACTTGTGCAAAACATCATAGTGTACAGTAATGTGATGTAGTCTCTGTAAGAAGTAGTCATGGCTTTTTTGAGGGGCAGGAAAGGGAAGATATGGTTCCATTTCTCGTATCACTAGCACTGCTGGCAACATTAGGAGACTCCTCCTGCTTGTGTTACCTAGGCCACAACAGAGAAATTATGGCTAGATATAATTATGATACATATACTTGGTGAAAGAGGTTCTCCTTGCTCACTTGGCTGCTCTAGAACATATTATAGGAACAAAGAAAATTAGGGTTGGAAGGGACCTAAGGAGGTCATCTAGTCCAAACCCCTACTCAAAACAGGACCGTCTCCAACTAGATCATCCCAGCCAAGACTTTGATTACCTGGGTCTGAAAAGCCGCTAAGGATGGAGATTCTACAACTTATTTTCATAGCCTCTTCCAGGGCTTTACTACCCTCCTAGTGAGAGAGGTTTTCCTAATATCTAACCTAAATTTCTATTGCTACAATTTGCGACTTGCTCCTTGTTTTGTTATATGCCACTACTGAATACAGTCTAGTTCTATTCTCTTTGTAACCATCTGCAGGTAGTTGAAGGATGTTATTAAACCCCCCCTCAGTCTTCTCCTCCTCTCCAGACTTAATAAGTCTACTTCCCTCAGCCTTTCCTTGTAAGTCATGTGTCCTAGTGCTCTAACCATTTTTGATGCCCTCTGTTGGATTCTCTCCAATTTGTCCACATCCTTTCTGTAGTGGAAAGACCAAAACACAGTACTCCAGATGTTGCTGAGTGCAGCCCTGGCCCAACCCCCACTCCAGGAATAGCTCAGCGCCACCCTGGCCTCAGCCCACAGTGGCAGCCCGCTCTCACCCCATGTGCAGATCCAGGGCACATGCCCTCCCCCCATGCCCTCCTGGGCTGCATGCAGCAGTGGGAGCCACCCCCGCCCCGCACCCCCAGGTGAGCCATTCACAGCTTCATCCTGTGCCCTGCCCCAGCTATGCAGCATCTGCCCCAGCCCTAGCCCCACTCCCTCACCACAGGGGCCTCAATCTGCAACCCCCATGCCCCTTCTCTCACAACAGACTTACCAGCCAGGCTATGATATATACATTTAATTCATATATTTATAATTCTTTTAATGTTAAGTAGTGTAACCTGCCTTATATCACATAATTGGTAACATTAAAAACAAGAAAAATATATAAAGGGGTACATAAGCTTGAAACTTTGACAGAGAAGGGGTACACTTGTTAAAAAGTTGAAAACCTCTATCTTAATATGTTAAACCATGCTCTTTCTGAACTGCTAGACCTGGAATTCCTCTTTGGGATGAGTCAAAGTTTAGGGCTATGGGACATATCATTAGTTTCTTAGAGAGGTACTCAATATTGGGTTGCAATATAACCTCAAGTGTTTAGATTCTTTAATAATTACTACTGAATTATTATTTAGATAGATATATTGTTCTTCATGCAGGTACCTGTGTGCTCCCCTGCAGGCAGAGAATTCCATAGGTTATGCTCTAAGACATTATTCTCCCTGCTTCCGTTTAGCCTCAATTTTTTCTTTTTAATTTCCAGATGTGACAGTTTGCCCCATTTTTGTCTCAAGGTTAGATTAGCGTAAATGAATTGTACTTGGAAACTGAAGCAAATGCAGAATAAGGCTAGTTGTTTATTACCCAGATTTTCAGCCTGCATTTTATGACAGGTATAAAAATACTTGAGACCCCTCTACATGGGCACTGACACTGTCGCTACAGGTAGTGTGACTGCACTGATATAAGAGAACAAGATATCCTAGTATAGTCAAGCCTTTTCTAGGAGCACCTTATGCCAGAGTTATGTAACTTCCCCTGGCTGCCTATAAATTTTGGGTTGGCATTTGTGATCTGCATAGGGTAAATACTAGCATCGTTGTGACCAGCATGTGACTTGGAGGCCCCTTAATGTAAAAGATGGTACAGTAGAACTTGGATTCTTTGCTGGAGTAGTTTCTCTACCTGCCTGCAAAGATGAGGGCTTGCAAACTAACTGGCATATGTAGCTACAGCAAATAGCTGCATAGGACCACTGAGGTGCTCCAATTGTTTGCTGCAGTTTTTATTTCAAAGTGTGATACTTCTCCAGTCACCTGTACAGGACCGTTGCTGTGCTTCAGCTGAGTGGAGAAGCAGTGGCCTTTGAAGTAAAAGCTGTAGCAACCTGCTGTTCCACTCATTCTTAATTAGATCACCCACTGCAAAGTAAACCATCTGTTTACACAAAAATCTGGGTTCTACTGTACCACCAGAGCTTTATCTTTTGGAGCGGATGGATTTATTTTGATTGGTCTCTTCAGTCTTTCAGATTCACATTACTCTATTTCTCTCCATAATGGGCATGTCTACAAGAGATGTTTACTGTGGAGTTGACTAATTAGCTCTGCAGTAAACATCTCAGCATCTATACATGCAGCTCTATTAGGCTGCAGGAAACTGACACTCTACACTAATAAACTCTTCTGTAAATACAAATGCTTTCCTTCTATGGAGTTTTTTATGCACAGCAGTGCATGTGTAGATGCTGACCCGGCTGGCTGGGGCATGAGTGTGCTTCAGTGTGGGGGCTGCCTGCTGGCTAGCCTTGTGCTGAAGCCCCCATCCAGCCTCTCCGCAGCACATCGAGCAGGGTTGGAGCAGCCCTGGGCTGGCAGGTTGAACCCCCGGACCCCCTGAAACCAAGGCTGCTCTGACCTGCCTCAACATGCTGTGGTCCCAGGTACACATGTAAACATGGTGCCCAGGAGCAATAAACTCTGGTGTGGTATGTGTTGGAGTTTATTGTTTTGTATTAATAAATAATATGCACATGTAGATTCACCCAATATGTATGCATTTGTGCTGCTTAGACTACACCAGTTTAATATGATCAAAATATCTAGACTCAATGAGTGGGTAACATACAGATTATAATACATGGTGTTGAAACTATTCTGTAACAATTTTTTTCACTCTTATCCTGATGTTTAGCTGTGTCTGCAAGGAAGGGGAGATAGGAGATGGGAGAAGCTGCTACAAAAGTCTCATGAGTGAAATCTCTCAGCTGAATACTCGAGGAAGGTTCTTCAGGAAGTTAAACAGTGCTAACAAAATGTTTGGTAACTGACTTCTGATTTTGTTTGGGGGATGGAGATTAGATGGGAGTAGGCATGCCAGTGGATACTTTAAATAATATATTTACCTCAGATTTTTTTCACAACATATGAAAAGATATTGCAGCCTTGAGCAAGCTACACCTGATATTTAACAAAAGAACAGTGAAGATTATTATGCAAGAGTTATTAGCGTTCATCAAAGGTGACAGTCCTGGTGACTGACATCCTCTCGCCACACAAGAAGCTTAGGCTTGACTATAAGCTTCAACCTTCTCACCAACAACTCACCAACATGCCTCATCTTGCAGGGACTACTTTGTGGATATTTCAGTCATGATGACTCATTTGCACATTCCCAGCAATCCTACAAATAAAGAGGGAGGTTTTAGTGCTATAAATAAATCTACCCACAAGGTAGATCCATCTTCTTTTTTTTATGTGACCAAACAGCCAACATACTAGCTCAGCCTGGATATTTTACTATGAGCTTAATATGCTTCTATGAGCAACAATTTATGTAACCAAGGTGTTGGTAACTTAGATCCTGCTTCAAAGCCCATGGCTATCCATGGAAAAGCTCCCATTGACTCTAGTAGTCTTTATTTCCATTGGATCTTTAAAGAGTTAATTCAGTAAAATCTGACTATATTATTTATCTGTACTAACTATAACATTTTTGTGCAGAGATGACAGTTTGAGTGTGTGCAAATTCAAGCTTACAGTTGAAATTGCTCTGCAAGCTTAGGCCTCCATCCAAAGGTTGTAAACATCAAAAGGAAGCCTACAGCAATCTTAGGATAAAACCCTAAAAAGACTACCATCCATTATCAAGTAATATCTGTGATATGCCTGTGAACTTTCTGATCCATCCAGTCCACATAAATATGCTTTAGCTATTCACTCCAGGATGAAGACTCTAGGGTGAATTATATCCACTAACAAGAGGAATAATAAAAACGATCACTTAAGTTATTGTTTTTTTCATATAACTGGTTTTACTTTTATTTTTTAACAGCTTCAGGTTGTTCACTGATATTGACAAAATACGGACCTTTCACAGTCTTTGTGCCAAGTCTTCATCCATTTAATGATAAATTTGACTTCAATGTAAGTTTTGCCACATTTTGGTAACCTTGAATCTTAGAATTTCTTCTTATTTTTGACGGCTATATCCTTCAAAAAGTAACTGACTTTTCAGAGAGAAACTTTAGAAAGCAAAACATTTAGGAATGATTGCAGATTACTCTTATATACCATTTAATGTCTGGTTGAGATTAATTTTAAAAAAAGATGCTACATCCTCAGCATTGCTTTGAAAATCCTACTCTCTCTCTCGTTTCCCTTTATTTATAGAGACTTTGTAATATTCTTGTATATGATTTTGAATGTTAGCTCTGGTTGGGTATACTGTAGTGGGTGAGTCTATATGTGCATTAAGGTGCTTTTCCTAATGTGCATTAAATGTAGTACCTCCAATGTGAGGGGTGAAGAAATGCACATTAGACTGCCTTAATGTACACTACCAAATGTGCATGGTTTTTAAGTCACACTTAGTGCATGGTAGCCTATTTTACTGTGCTTTAGCATAATCACACATTTTTTGCATGGCACTTTAATGTGAAGTAAAATAGGCTACTGTGCATTAAAGCACATGGGTAGACACACCCAGTAAACCCTAATCCACTCCTTCTAAGACTGATACTTCTCAGTACTTTCTAGGGCTTTTACTCTTTAAGGATGGAATTTTCAAAAAGCACTAAGGAGTGATGTACTGCTACTCCCATTAAGATTTTTTCTGTCTTATTCTAAACTACTTTTAAAAATATGAATAAACCCTGACTATTGACATTAACTATTGTTGAGAGACAGTGAGGATTTAAGAAATCTAACCCAAATCTTAATTTTATAGATACTTAATTTAATAAGCATTAATTTAATAATTGCATTTAATAAGCAATATTTTCATTCAATAAGCAATACTTTAGTAATAATTAATAATAATTAATTGAATTATGGATTGGCTGACTTCTGGACCAAGATTTCACATTTTGCGTGCATTTCTTAGTATTTATAAGTATTTAGTGATGGGGAATCTGAAGTGGTAACTTGCTCAAAGGAAATTTGCATCAGAGACAGGATGGGAGCTCAGGAGTCATGTGTTCTCAGTTTCGGGTTCTATGTGGACCAAGCAAAACTTCCCAATATCACCATTTAAATATGTTTAATAAATTGTATTAATTTGTAACAATTTTCACAAAAAGCAACCAAGCTAACCATAAAAAAATTTAAAAGCTTATAAACCATATCTTCAGAGTGGAAAACTCTGCTAAACATGATCAGACAGGAGCTACTTAATACAGATTATTTGATTACTTATACAAATTATTTGACTGGTATTTAAATCACAGACCAAGTCCTCTTCTTGCTTGTGTTACATTTCAGGGCTGGGTTCCTCTGATTATTTGTAAATGAAGAGGAAATGCCTTTAAAAGTACTTCAAAGCTGACTTCTGAGACTGTGATAATATAATTCCTAGACACATAGCTGAACACAGCTGTATGATTTAACTCTCCCCCTTCCCACCCCACCCCAAAAAAAATCAACACACACACAAAAAAACAAAGGGCATTTTTACACGTGTGCCAAGGGGGCACTTTAATTAGAGTGGTTCCAAGAGCCGCTGTAATTAGAATGCCCACAGTCTTGTGTTTCAGCATCCCTACATCTCAAAATGGTGGTGGGGGCACTTTAATTAAAACTCATTTGATGAGCTTTAGTTAAAGCACCACTGCTGTCATTTTGAAGTGCAGGGATGCTGATACATGAGACATGGAGGCTGGCTGGAGTGCATTAATTAGCCTGCTCCAGCAGACTCGATTAATCAAATCTGCTCTATTTTCAGCTAGGCCATCCTTGCTATGTGTGTAAGTGTATTTGTTTTGCACACGTGTGTAAAATTTTTGTCTGAAGTAGTAGGCTCAGTGCATGAGCCACGTGGTAGCGTCCTTTGGGCTGCATTATATAGGAGATCCATCTAAGATTACCATTATACTATTATAATGGTAATATCTGACTTAAAAAAAATGGTGACAATACTCTCCTGGGCACTATCAAAGATTTCTAATTCCATACAACAGAAAAAAAAGCCATAGCTTGTTTATCAGAAATGATCAAGCTCACATGTAAAGTATTTCTTTCTGTGTGCTAGATAGGAGACATTTAACTGAAATTCTTTAAAACATTTTTGTAAAACTTATCATTTCTTTCTTTCTTTTTAATGGCATGAAGGATACCATTGCAGAAAATTTATGCAAAATGCACATAATTCCTGGTCAGCATTTGTTGGAAGACATGATCAAAACCAAAACAATGTGGACATTGTCTGGGCATCAGCTGACATTTAATGACCTGGTAAAGACTTTATAATATTATACTACGTACTGGATTGCTGCTTCACATGGTACTAGTCCAAATGCTAAAGCTGTACTGCTGACACACCTTCATACCAGGAAACCTCTTCTCTTGAATCAACAAAGTCAGGCCTGTCCAACTTCAGCAGGCCCAGGGGCCACATGCAACACCAGTGTGCAACCCCTTAGCTGTACACTACGTGTGTCACATGCTGCCCCACCATATGGGTTCCACAGGTACCTCCCATGCCCCTCTTCCCCCCTGCCCCAGCAGCACTGGCAGTATATGGCTCCCTAGCCCCTGGCAGCACCAGCAGCATGTAGGTCTCCACAGCCCCCCTGTCCCCCAGGCAGTTCCCACTCCCCCCAGGTTGTGGCATGTGGTGCATGACCCCCCAGGCCCTCCCCTGCTGTGTGGTAGTGGGAAAGGCAGGTACTGGGGCGTGTGGGCTGTGGCTCACCAGTTGAACAGCATTGTTCAGATTTATAACAAGTAACTTTATATTTCCATATTATAATAATTAAATCATAGATGTAGAAAACCTGCAAACTCATCTAGCCTGTTTACTTGTCAATGAAAAATTGATCATTCCCTGCTTGCAGTTTATTCGGCTGTACTATATTCGTCTAACTTTTCAAATAATGGCACTTTGCAAGACCAATATTCAAAATAAATTCTTTTCTTAGAATACTTTGCTTTGTCCCTTTTGTGTCTAGATTAATTCAACATACTTTTACTGCTTTCTTGTCTCTTAAACACTCCAGTCTTATATATGAAGATCATATTTTGTCAATTGTGGCAAAGTGGGAACTCCCCGACCAGCTACAGTGCTGGTCTCCCACCTGTCTGGGCATGCCACCTGCCTTCTCTCCTGCCATGCCTTGTTGTTAAATAATTATGGTCTTACTTAGGCAGGAGGGTGCCCTTTGAATGCCCTGTTCTCTTGGGCCTTTGTATGCAGCTCCAACCACCCCTATACTGCATCCCAAGCCTCACAGATGACATACTGTTCAATTGCTGGCTCAAGGCTGGGCCCAACTAGACACACAGTTGTGTCTCTCTCTCATTGCCATGTTACAGGCCAGTTCATACCACCCCTCTCTCATCAGGGCCTCTAACACTCCACCGGCTCTCACCCAGTCTCTTGCATACCGCCCCCTTGGGCCACACTCCCTCCCTACTTTGTGAAATATTCAGGCTTAGCTTTCCATTCTTCAGTCAGCCTGGGTGCAGTCTCATAGGCATCTCCCTCTACCCCACTGTGTGTTGACTGAGCGATTGCTCAACTGTAGGCCTACTTTAGCCATGACCCCACACCAGAACATAATGCTCCTTCCTCAGGCCCCTAATCATGCCCCTCAGTCTCAGGGCCTCTCCTCGGCCTCCGGACCACCTTTGGCCTCAAGCACCCAAAGGCTTTTACTGGGACCTTACAGATCCTACTCTTGGGGCTTCATCTCACTCGACCTCCTTGCTCTTGGGGCCCCATCCCCCAGTCTCCGGGCCTTATGCCCCAACAGGCTCAGGTGCTGGGGCTAAGGTGCCCCTCCTCACCTTTCACCGGGGAGGTAACTGGCCTAGCATTTCCGGAGGGCTCCCACACCACTAGAAGCCCCACCAGGCCACCCTTCCCCAGCAGAGTACAGTTTTGAGTCATGCCCAAGACCAAGAGGTCTCCTCCTTCCCAATTCCCCTTGCTATGGCACTCAGATCCAGCTCCAGCTCTTCCTCTGGCACTGGAAGGCTCAGCATGGGAAGTGAAATGGGGGTGGAGGAGACTGTCATGCTGGTACTTGTGGTGCTAGTGGTGTGGAGGGGTTATTATTATTGCTGGTGTCAGTGGAGGTGGGGCAGGTGCAGACACTGCTCCCACCTCCTTGCTGCCA